TCTATTCCAATTTTCTGTAGGACTTTGAACATGAATGAGTGTTGGACTTTGTCAAAAGCCTTTTCTGCATCAATGGAGATGATCATGTAGTTTTTCGTTTTCACTTTATTGATATAGTATATTATATTTATAGCTTTTTGAATATTGAACCATCCTTGCATCCGTGGGATGAATCCTACTTCGTCAAGGTATATGATCTTCTTGATGATTTGTTGTATTGTATTTGCTAGGATTTTATTGAGGATTTTTGCATCTATATTCATGAGGGAGATTGTCCTGTAGTTCTCTTTTTCAGTTGTGTCTTTCCCTGGTTTTGGTATCAGTATAATACTTGCCTCCAGGAATGATTTTGGGAGAAATGCTTCCTTTTCAATTTCGTTGAAGAGTTTGAGGAGTGTAGGGATTATATCTTCTATGAATTTCTTATAGAATTCATCTGTGAATCCATCAGGACCTGGACATTTCTTTGTCGGCAGGCTTTTTGTTACATTTTGTATTTCATTGGCTGTTATTGGGTTATTGAAAGTTGTTATATATTCTTCAGTTTTGGTAATTTGTACCCTTCTAGGAATCTGTCCTCTTCATCTGTTTCTTTTATTCTGTGAGCATAAAGATTCTCAAAGTAGCTATTGATAATCTTCTGAATTTCCACTGAGTCTGTGGTAATTACACCCTTTTTATTCCTTATTGCTTGTGTTTGAATTTTTTCTTTCCTCTTTTTGATGAAGCTAGCTAGGAGCTTATCAATTTCATTTAATCTTTCAGAGCACTAGTTTTTCGATTCATTAATTCTTTGAACTGTTTTCTTCATCTCAATTGAATTAATTTCTGCTCTAATCTTTATGATTTCTTCCCATCTTTGGGCTCTGGATTTGATTTTCTCTTCCTTTTCTAGATGTTGGAGGTGCAGCATTAAGGTGTTTATTTTTTTTCCATTTTGTTTTCCTAATGCGTGAGTTCATAGCTATGAATTTCCCGCTGAGAACTGCTTTCATAACATCCCATAAAAGCCGATATATTGTGGTTGAATTTTCATTGAATTGTAGATATTGTTGAATTTCTTGTTTAATTTCATCTGTAATCCATTGATTGCTGAGTAGAGTTGTCCCAAACCAGCGGGTCAGTCAACGAAGGTCACCTGGGGGAG